CACTGCTGAGTTTTCCAAATTTGCTGGCATATTGAGTGCAGCACTTTCACAGCATCATCTTTCAGGATTTGAAATAGCTCAACTGGAATTCCATCACCTCCACTAGCTTTGTTGGTAGTGATGCTTCCTAAGGCCCACTTGACTTCCCATTCCAGGATGTCTGGCTCTAGGTGAGTGTTCACACCATTGTTATGACCTGGGTTGTGAGGATCTTTTTGTATAGTTCTTCTGTGTATTCTTGCCACCTCTTCTTAATATCTTCTTCTTCTGTTAGGTCCATACCATTTCTTTCCTATATTTTGCTCATCTTTGCATGAAATGTTCCCTTGGTATCTCTCATTTTCTTGAAGAGAGCTCTAGTCTTTCCCATTCAATTGTTTTCCTCTATTTCTTTGCATTAATCACTGAGGAGGGCTTTCTTATCTCTCCTTGCTTTTCTTTGGAACTCTGCATTCAAATGGGTTTATCTTTTCTTTTCTCCTTTGCTTTTGGCTTCTGTTCTTTTCACAGCTATTTGCAAGTCCTCCTCAGACAGCCATTTTGCTTTTTTGCATTTCTTTTTCTTGGGAATGGTCTTGATTCTTGTCTCCTGTACAGTGTCACAAACCTCCATCCATAGTTCATCAGGCACTCTGTCTATAAGATCTAGTCCCCTAAATCTATTTCTTACTTCCACTGTATAGTCATAAGGGATTTGATTTAGGTCATACCTGAATGATCTAGTGGTTTTCTCCACTTTCTTCAATTTCAGTCTGAATTTGGCAATAAGAAGTACATGATCTGAGCCACAGTCAGCTCCCGGTCTTGTTTTTGCTGACTGTATAGAGCTTCTCCATTTTTGGCTGCAAAGAATATAATCAATCTGATTTCGGTGTTGACCATCTGGTGATGTCCATGTGTAGAGTCCATGAGTAAAGACTAAGCAAATTTAAAGACTTGCTTTTCCTGCAGCGTATTCACAGGGGACCCGGGGACTTTTTTTTACTTCCTCCTTTCCTTTTTTTTTTTAAGAGAACAGTCAAACTAAGTAAAAATGTAAATTGTTGCAGTCTTATTTTGGCAGTGTGTTTTATTGTTCTTATCTTTTAACAGCAAGTCTCTTATCATTTACTTAAGGACTAATTTAAAAGTCTCAAGAGTAGGTGCAGAATACTCAGGCTTCGCTGATGGCTCAGAGGGTAAAGCATCCACCTGCAATGAGGGGGACCTGGGTTGGATCCCTGAGTCAGGAAGATCCCCTGGAGAAGGAAATGGCAACCCACTGCAGTACTCTTGCCTGGAAAATCCCATGGACCGAGGAGCCTCGGTATAGTGACAAAAGGGGTGGGGGAAGAAGCAAGCTCATTAATTAAGGATAGTACTTTGACTAAAATAATAATATAGCCATAAGATTAACTACAATGCAGGGTTTAAAAATCATGTCCTGAAAGATTATGCACTTTCACTGTATTATCTCAATTAATGCAAAGATTTTGATTGCCTTTAGTGCAAAGTAATCCTCAGGCCATAGTGGCATATTTGAGGGTGGCAAATTCTGCTCCCCCTCACTTTCTCTCTATCCCTCTTTCTCTCTATATATATATATGTATATATATGTGCACACAGATGCATACAGTACATATATGTGTAGACATGTATGATGGATAATGGCTCTAGTTAGTCTTCCTAACCAGACTGTAAGCTCATGGTGAGCAGCAACTATATTTAAAATTACCTCCTACTTCTGTACCCTGTGGTATCTTGCAACTGAAGATCTTGGATTCCATGAAAACTTAATGTTATGGTCAGAATTTTGAACTTGCTTTTTTTTTTTTTAACAAGAATGATATTAAGAGTTTTTTTCAGGAACTTTACCTCAGCCCCTCTTCACCTGTGTGCAGTGGCAGAATCGATGCCCACCTGTAGTAATATCTTGAGGATTACTTGAGGAAGATAATGCAGTGCAGGACTTGGTATATGGTGAAAGTGAAAGTCCCTCGGTCCTGTCCGACTCTTTGCTACCCCATGAACTATACAGTCCATGGACTTCTCCAGGCCAGAATACTGGAGTGGGTAGCTGTTTCCTTCTCCAGAGGATCTTCCCAACCCAGGGGTCAAACCCAGGTCTCCCGCCTTGCAGGCGGATTCTTTCCCAGCTGAGCCACAAGGGAAGCCCAAGAATACTGGAGTGGGTGGCCTGTCCCTTCTCCAGGGGATCTTCCTGACCAGGGAATCGGAACCAGAGTCTCCTGCATTGCAGGCAGACTTTTTACCAATTGAGCTATAAGGGAAACCCTGGTATATGAAAGAACTTTTTTTTTTTAAATCATTTTAAAATATTTTGAAGACAGAATGAGAAACACTGGTTCTGGAAATTTTCATGTTCTTTCTTTTAGAAAGTAAAAGTGGTTGTTAGGTAATTGTATTTTTGAGAACTAAGTATTTAGGGCATAATTACATTATTTGTTTCTTTGTAGAGTTATTCCAAACTGTCAGTTCAGATCAAAAACAGCACGTCTTAAAACTTTTACTGCTAACCAGATAGATGAAATAAAGGACCCTTCTGGACTCTTTTATATTCTTCCTTTTCAAAAGGTAATCCAACTCTATGACATTTCTAGCATTAAGGACCTACATTTAAAGATAATTTGAAATGTATTATAAGATTTTGTGTGTTTGAAAATATTTTTAGATCTCTGAGAAAGCGTTATTTAAATTTGAATTAAGAGCTTATTAAAACCAAAATTGAATTTAAATTGTTATGTTAAAAATAACCATGAANTAATTTGAAATGTATTATAAGATTTTGTGTGTTTGAAAATATTTTTAGATCTCTGAGAAAGCGTTATTTAAATTTGAATTAAGAGCTTATTAAAACCAAAATTGAATTTAAATTGTTATGTTAAAAAATAACCATGAATAATTATACCTCTCTGAAAAAGAATCAACTATACTTCAATAAATAAAAATAAATGACCATAATTTAGCTGCTGATTGTGGGTACTGAATTTTACTTGTGTTAAAGCTAAATGAAATACAAACATTAAAGAAAATAAATACAGAGGGGCATCTCTACATATTGGTGTGTCTTTTGAGCCCTTTGATGTTTTGGTTATTGTTAATTTGTAATGTTTTGAATTTTTAAAAGGAGGAAAGCATACCAATGTAAAAGCTTTGAGATTCAACTAGTATTAGACTGGTAAAGAGAGAGTAATTAAGAGATAGTAATCAGTGATTTATAATGTATTGATCTGATTTTTTAAAATTCTATTGTGTAAACATTAAATATCCCAAAGCTTGTCACATTTTACCTTTTATTTTATTTTTTACCTTTTAACTTTTAAAAACAAAATACAGTTCCAGTGCTTGTAGTTGTATCACTCATTACTTTTGCATAATTATCTTTAAACAATTTGATGGTACCTACCGTTTTATCAATGCTACCATTAAAAGAGTTAAATAATAGTTGAAGACCATGAATGCTGTGACCTGACTTCCCAAGTTCGGTGCTAAGTTTGTCGTTAACTAGTGGTGTGGACCTCGAGAACTCATTCAGCTCTTTCTGTCTCAGTTTGCTCAGCTTTCAAAAGGGGATAATAGTAAGACCTGTCTTCTAGGGTTATTGTGAGAATTAAATAGATGTATGTACATAAAGCAGATGTTTATCATTATAACTACAAAGCTACAAAACTGGGAATTTCTTTCCTCTTATAGGTTGACTTTTTAGACACTAATATTATTATCACAGAACCATATTTTAACTTCACTTCAATTCAGGAATCAATGAATGAAATCTTATTTGAAGAATACCAGTTTCAAGCAGTATTAAGAGTAAATGGTGAGTTAAAGTTCTTATTGAAATTGAGTTATGTGAATATGAATAAACACTTAAAATCCAAGAATATTGAGTGACATTCTTTTAGATTTGGTGAAGTTTAAAACTAGATGAAGCCCTCGAGCTTATTAGACTTCTCTCGCTATATCTTTTTAATATGGTATTTCTCCCTAATGAAGTTAACTAGCAACGTATTTCTAATCTCTGAAAGTTTATTTTTTCTGAGATAATTGTCTTTTCTATCACTGATGTGTTTGCTCTTCTTATTATTGTTTGAAATAATGTTAATAACTTACCCTGCCAATATGAGGAAAAACAATCTATAAATATCATCTAGAAGTTAGTTTTTTAAACGCTAGAATTACATGACTGTACAAAAGAAGTATTCACCTATTTAGCATGTAGCATTTAAGTCTGTATAAACAACAATATACTGTAATGGTTAGGAACATAATCTCTAGAACAGTGTTCTCAACCAAGAGTGATACTGCTCCTGGGGATATTTAACAGTGTCAGGAGACATTTTTCATTGTCACAACTGGGACGGGGCTTCTTACATCTAATATGTAGAGGACCAAGATGCTGCTAAAACAATGCACAGTAAAGGCCGCAACACTGGGGAAGTATCTGACCCACAATGTCGGTAGTTCTGAAGTTGAGAAAATGTGCGGTAGAGTCATACTGCTTACGTTTGAATCCTGGCTCTGTTACTTTCTAATCATGTGACCCTGGGCATGTTATTAACATCTCTGCTTCAGTTTCTACATCTATAAAAATGGGATTGTTGTGAGGATTATAACACACACACTCATGAAGTTTAGAATAGTGCCCAGCATGTAATAAATGCTCAGCAAAATTATATGCTATTAAAATATTAAAATAACTATTATAAGTTGTGAAGTGAATATTTACCTTCTAAGTTGATCACACATTTTTTATCATTTTCCAAAAAAAACAGTGTGTTTTAATGTTTAAATACCTGACAGAATTAGGAATGTTATTTTAGATTAATTTTTTTTTACAAAGGAAAATTTCTCTTTCTGTTTGCTTTAGTTTGCTGCTTTTCTTTACTTACTGTTTTAAATTAGTTGTACTTTTATTCATTGTGTTTATTTTTTCTTTATCTTTTGTTTTCTTAATAGCTGGGGCTCTCAGCGCACATAGGTATTTCCGGGATAATCCTTCTGAGTTATGCTGTATCATTGTAGATAGTGGGTATTCCTTCACACACATAGTTCCTTACTGTCGGAGTAAGAAGAAGAAAGAAGCAATTATTCGGTGAGTTGCACTCAATTTTCATCTTATTTCTTATAATAAAACTGGATGAAATGTGTGATAAACTGAACTAAATTTGAATTCTTCCTTTTTAGGATAAATGTGGGAGGAAAACTCCTAACCAATCATCTAAAAGAAATCATATCTTATAGGTAATACTTAGCTTTGATTGTATGGGAAGATGAGATGCTGGGGGTGAAATTTTTAAAGTAATTTAAAATTATTCCCTGCCTTTAGTTCTAATTTCAGGTGACAATTCTGAATTATTGCTTTAAAGACTGTATCACATAGATACTGGGTTGCCCAGAAAGTTCATTTGGGTTTTTCTGTAACCTTATGGAAGAACTTAAATGAACTTTTTGACCTACTCAGTAAATACCAATGATGTTCAAGTTAAAAAGCTTTCTGACATATGAAATGGTAGTGTCCACCAAAAAGACATTTCCAATTTCTCAGGAGTTTAATACATTAACAATATTTTAAAATTACAAATGTGCATATACCTTGTAAAACATTTTACAATGCATATAAGGAAATAAGGGTCTAAAAAGAAACTAAATCTCTACTTCCCTTTTCCATTTCTCTTGTCAGTTCTCCATACACAGTGCAGTACTTGAGCTTTATTTATCTTTTATCCTTTTTTAACCTCTAAAAGCCTTACTAATGTGCACTGCCGTGTATAAAACAGTAGCTAGTAGGAACTACGGTATAGCCCGGGAGCCCAGCTCAGGGCTCTATAATGACCTAGAGGGGTGGGATGTTGGGGTGGGCGTGGGAGGGAGGCCCAGGAGGGCGGGTATATGTGTATGCATATAGCTGGTTCACTTTGTTACATAACAGAAACTAACACAACAGTGTAAAGCAACTGTACTCCCCCCCAAAAAATATATAAATAGGTATGTTTCTGGATTAGCCAATATTAGTTGACCGTCCACTATTAAAAGGTTAGGAATTAGTGTACTTAATCACCTCCCAAGGAGGGCATAGCAACCCACTCTAGTATTCTTGCCTGGAGAATCCCCCTGGACAGAGGAACTTGGCAGGCTACCGTCCATGGACTTGCAAAGAGTCAGATATAACTGAGTGACTAAGCACAACTTCAATAAGATAATGGAATGGGTATTCCATAAAGTTAAAAATATTTTACACATTCAAAAATTTAATGTTTTTTAAAGATCAGTTACCTGGAAATTTAATTCCAGAAAAATACTTTCAATGATAAGTTGCATTTAAATTTTTTTCATTTCACATTACCATTTTTATTTCTGTTTAGGCAGTTACATGTTATGGATGAAACACATGTGATTAATCAAGTGAAAGAAGATGTATGCTATGTGTCTCGGGATTTTTATAGAGACATGGATATTGCCAAGTATGTATAATGATAGCCTAAGAATTGGAAAGTTGATTCTTGGCTAATGTTAAACATAGTTAAAATACTTCATAAGTCTCTCTTTTGTTTTCCAGGTTGAAAGGAGAAGAAAATACAGTAATGGTAGACTATGTTTTGCCTGACTTTAGTACAATTAAAAAGGGCTTTTGTAAGGTAATTTTTTAAAAAATTTCATTTTGTATTAGCATGAAGTTAATTTATAATATATTAGTTTCAGGTGCATAATAAGTGATTCAGTTATACATTATTCTTTTTCAAGTGTTTTCTCTCTGTTATTACAGAATATTAAGTAGAGTTCCCTGTGCTATACAGTAGGTTCTTATTGATTATTTATTTTATGTATATTGTGCATGGATGCACGCTAAGTTGCTTCAGTTGTGTCCAACTCTTTGCAGCCCCAGGACTGTAGCCTGCCAGGTTCCTCTGTCCTTGGGATTCTCCAGGCAAGAATACTCGGATGGGTAGCCATTATCTTTTCCAAGGGATTTTCCTGATCCAGTGATTGAACCCAAGTCTCCTGCATTGCCAGATAGATTCTATACTATCTAAGCCACCAGGGAATCCCGTAGTAACTCCATGGACTGTAGCCCCCTGGGCTCCTCTGTTCATGGAATTTTCTAGGCAAGAATATTGGAATGGGTAGCCATTCCCTTCTCCAGGGGATCTTCCTGACCCAGGGATTGAACCTGAATCTTGCATTGCAGGCGGATTCTTGACCATCTGAGCCATCTATATAGAAGTGTATGTTAATCCCAATGTCCTAATTTATCCTTCTCCCCACCTTTCTCTTCTGACAACCATAAGTTTGTTTTCTAAGTCTGTGATGTAAGGTAATTTTAAGTTTTTCTTCAAGCGACTACTCAGGTTTGAAAAGCATCTAGCTGGGATTGATGGAATGTCAGAGTTGTTGATGATAGCCTTCTTGCCTGTTGGCCATTTCTGTGGACACCAGAGTATGAATGATTAATTAATATCTGTATTAAATTTATTTAGAAAAAGAACTATCCACTATGATAGTTTATGGGATAAATCTGGAGATGCTCCTGCTAAGTCACTTCAGTCGTGTCCAACTCTGTGCGACCCCATAGACAGCCGCCCACCAGGCTCCCCTGTCCCTGGGATTCTCCAGGCAAGAATACTGGAGTGGGTTGCCATTTCCTTCTCCAATGCATGAAAGTGAAAAGTGAAAGTGAAGTCGCTCAGTCGTGTCCGACTCTTAGCGACCCCATGGACTGCAGCCTACCAGGCTCCTCCGTCCATGGGATTTTCCAGGCAAGAGTACTGGAGTGGGGTGCCACTGCCTTCTCCAAAATCTGGAGATAAACAGTAACTTGACCTATATTATGGTTTACCCATTTTTGTTTTCTTAAGAATTAGTGTAAATCCAGTTAGAAGTAGACTATTTGCCTGTTGTGAATGTTATTGACACAGCAGACCCAGGGCTGTGGTATCAGATTGTAGTTAAAAAGGGCAAAATCCAGTGTACTTTGAAAATGTTGAGAACAGTTTATCTTGGATGTCAGATCAATATAATTTCTCCTTATCTTTGATCAGCTCAGTTTTATGTTTGGGTAAATGTGAAGTTTGCCCTTACAGTTACTGGCTTGGTGAGGACTCCTAGAAGTTAAAAGTGTTTGGTCAGAAACCTAAGCACACAGAGATAGTTTCACAAGGAGACATTTATGGTGACATTCACTGCAGTGTACATTGAGTGAAAAATTGGGAAGAGCCTAAATACTCACTAATGGAAGAAGAATCAATTTTGATTTATTCATGTTATAAAATAAGCAGTAAAAGTATAGTAGAGATATGTGATCATCATGGATAAATCTCAGAAATGTATTTCTGTTTAGAAGACTATATACCATTTCAGGATATGTAGAATAATTCTTTATATGTGGGCATTTATAAAAATGAAGTAAAAGTATAAAAACTGTGTATATAAACCACATTTAAAATGAGAGTGTTATCTGTGAAGTTACGTTAAACTGACTGATGGATAATGGGTTTTATATAATTATTTATACTTGTTTTTATGCCTGAAATTAAAAAAAATTTTTTGGACCAGATTTTTAAGGTGAAATACAAATCAGAATTCAGAGAAGACTACCCAAGTCCTTATAAAATCAGTATGGTCCTATAATGTCCTTAGAAATAGATCCTTGTGGAAGGACCGAGGCTGACTTTAAGAAGTGAGAATTATGACAGATTATGGAATCAGGTTGTCTGGACATGAACTGGGGAGAGGAACTGGAAGCCGGAATCCCACATAGAATATGGAAGATGTATTTTTTTCTTTACAAGACGAGGAAAACTGCCCCAAACATACAGATGCTAGGCCTCCTTATCAGGCACGTTTGATCATCCTCGTACAGGTATAGCTGTTTAAAGCAGCCCAGTGATATAAACACCTTGTAGAGAATTTACAGCACTCTGAACGTTTGGTGATAAGGTGATCTGTATTTCTACCAGGATGGACCCTGAATGATGGGCCCTGTGTCTCTAAAGCTGACTGAAAATCACCTGGGCCACTTGAAGAACAATTGATGTCCATGTTCTTTGTTCCTGTCCCTGGAAAGATTTAGTACCTAAGTTTGGAAACTTAATCTCTAAAAGAGAATAAAATCTCTTCCAGGTGATTGGACTATTAGCTAAATTTGGAAGTCTTCCTCCTTTTGTAAAACGTAGTTCTCTCCTGCCCTGCAAATGACAACTTACCAGTTTATTGGACATTATCTGCTGAACTCTGCCAGTTTCCTTCCCAAATCATAAGCCTGATTTCTCCGCCCTGTACCGTACATAGTGAGCGAGTAGAGGTGTGGTTGTTCCATCAATTGACTATTATATTGTTTCTCATCAGAGAAGAAAGGCAAAAGCCACGTTGTATTGTTTGCAGCTCTTTCACTGACTTTGGCCTTGCTATCAGAATCTTGGTGTGACTGCACTTCTATGGACTCCTTGTTACGTGTACACTTCAATATCAATTGAGTGGACATAGTTGGACTGGACTTTTACCAAATGATGGAATGTTACCTCAAATGTCTGTTTAAAAAATAACGGTTTAATTTCTACTTTGCCAGTTAATATTAAAATTTATATTTCAGTACATGTTAAATTGTGTACATCGTAATAATTTTTAAGGTTTAGAAATGACTATATTTTATATATGTTGGGTTTACTCCTAAAATGTATCTTTTTTAATTTAATACTTGATTAACTTGTTTTCTTTGTTGCCTGATAATCAAAATCTTTGATGAGAGCTGATAAAATATGTTTTGAAATTAGAAAAGCCATACTGCATAAAATGAAAGAGAATTTATTTCAGAATCTTTATACTTAGAATATTGCTAAAACTTGGACCTTGATTGTTTATTCAAGAATATTTTTAAATACTCAGGAAAAAGTTACAACCTTGATTTTCTAGTGTTGATGACAGCAATAATGATGAGGTCTGTAATATTGTTACTGATTACAGCTGATAGAAACTCCAGTTTTATTCTTTAACAGAAAGAGAATGCCTACTGAAGTGTAATGAATGCTTTACTGACCTTAATTGAGAAAATTAAGTTAACAATTATTTAATAGTTACCAGTTGTCATTTTTAAACTTTTTTTTCATGCTACCAGAATGAAATTTATGAGGACTGTACAGTCAATTATGGCCTGCATTAACTAAAATAGCAACTACCAGCAGCCCTTTTAAATTTTGTCATCTATGTCTAAAACAAAAATCATTTTGGAATTGTACTCTTAGAAACTGCTTGTAGTTCCAGATTACATATTAACAATGACTTCAGAGCTAATATTCAGCTATGATTTCTACTTCTGGCTCTTTCCCCTAGTTAGAAATTGGACCCTGGGTCAGTCACTTGATCTTCTGTAAAATTAGGGGTGTGGACTACAAAACTTCTTTTTTGTCAAATGAAATTCTCCATGTCTGTATCTGTCTCAAGTTATTTTGAGTGTTGACAAGATGAGTTATATCCTGTACACTCAAACCAATATCATTTTTAAATGAATTTGTAAATTTATAGGAAGTATTTTCCATTCTTCTTGAGAAGGAAGAATACTTTATCTGTGAAAAAATAATATTCTTCTCTTTGCCAGCGCAGCAGTAGTTTAACTGGGTAAAAAGTGATGTGTAGTTTTCCTTGTTCTTCCTAGAGTATTGTGAATTTATTGTAGTTTTTAGGATATTTTTATTTAGAAACAATGTTTCAAGTGAGAAATTTCCAAATGATAGCAATCAGAATCGTTCACATCCAGGTTAGGAGTAGCAATGTAGTATATGCATGCTAAGGTGCTCCAGTTGTGTCAGACTCTTTACAACCCCATGGACTGCAGCCTACCAGGCTCCTCCGTCCATGGGATTTTCCAGGCAAGAGTACTGGAGTGGGGTGCCACTGCCTTCTCCAAAATCTGGAGATAAACAGTAACTTGACCTATATTATGGTTTACCCATTTTTGTTTTCTTAAGAATTAGTGTAAATCCAGTTAGAAGTAGACTATTTGCCTGTTGTGAATGTTATTGACACAGCAGACCCAGGGCTGTGGTATCAGATTGTAGTTAAAAAGGGCAAAATCCAGTGTACTTTGAAAATGTTGAGAAACTCCAGGAGATCTTCCTGACCCAGGGATCGAACCTGTGTCTCCTGTGGAATGTAGTAGGAGGAAATACTGTGTGTTTCGGGGTTATTAGCTGAATGTTCTCGAGCAAGTCACATAACCGTGCCTAGCCCATTGGATCATTGATAAAAGGAAAATACGCCTGCTTTAGTGGGTTATATGAGAATTCAGAGTGATAATGTACCTAATACACCTAAAGAAAATTCCACATTGTTGTCTTGCATGCTGTACTGGGTAGCGGATTTGTGATGGTGAACAATATGGACAGCAAAGGATAACAGGATGATTACTGGAGGGACCTTTTGTTTGGGAGTCAGAAAAAGCCTCTCTGAGGAAGATGAAACCTGAACAGAGAATGGATGACTGATTACATTGAGGAATCTGTTATAGTCTTTATATACTTTATTGTCTAACAACAAATTAGTGTTTCTTTTCATACATTTTAAATAATTTTATATAAAGGATTTCGATATAGTCAGTTACAGGTAAAAATGCATATATGAGTCAAATGAAGTTTATGTCTTTAAAGACCATCTAGAAGAGCTGATGATTCTTAGTACAGTTGAGAGGAACCATTATTTTAATGATGTAGAGTGTTATAGAAGGAAATTGTTTTTTTCCTGGGCCCTTCAGGAATTACAGCTCACAGAGTTGAATGGATTAGCAGAAAATAAATAACAGAAGAATTTCAGTGATAAAGTCCATTTATTTGCCTAAATCATTTGGTAACTGATTTTGGAATAGAGATTGAATGCATAATAAAAAAATTTTTAGAGTATGTTCTTTGTTCTTTAGAAAGTGGATTCACTCTATTATAGATAGATTATGAAATTCCTTCTGCTCTATTATCGTTTTCTTTCTTTGTTTTAAAATGTGTGGAATAAAGCCAGCTCATCTTTGGGGGAATAGCTGCATTAAGAGTAAATAATCACTTAATTGTGTGGTTTAGGTAACAGGAGAGAAGACCACGTTTTTCTAACTTTTGAGAATCCTGAAACTTCCAAGAACATGGTTAATATATTGGTATTTCACAGTATTAAGATTACTAAATGTTATTTGTTATATGAATGAGCTAGATAATGTAGCATACTTTTCATCTTATTTTTCTTTAAGCCAAGAGAAGAGATGGTGTTAAGTGGAAAATACAAATCTGGGGAACAAATTCTTCGTTTGGCCAATGAGAGATTTGCTGTTCCAGAAATACTCTTCAATCCTTCTGATATAGGCATTCAAGAAATGGGAATTCCAGAAGCTATTGTCTATTCAATTCAGAACTTACCTGAAGGTACATTAATAAATTAATGAGGAATAATGATATCCTTGTTGCTCATCTGGTAAAGAATCTGCCTGCAGTGCAGGAGACCTGGGTTCGATCCCTGAGTTGGGAAGATCCCCTGGAGAAGGGAAGGGCTACCCACTCCAGTATTGTGGCCTAGAGAATTCCACGGACTGTGTAGTCCATGGGGTTGCGAAGAGTCGGACACAACTGAGCGACTTTCGCACAATGATATTTTTAAAAAATTGTAAGCTCTCTGAATCTTAAGAAGTCAACTGCTTCTTCTGAATAATTCAAACAGATGGCTACTTTATTTGCAGAGACTTCCAGATCCAGTAATGCACTTGAATGATTCTTTATTGGTCCCAGATTATAAACTTGATATAAGTAATTATGGTCTATTTAAACTTAAAGTAATTCATCTCTTTATGAGTATTAAATTGCTATATCCTTTTTAGAAAAGTTTTAAGCCAAATTTGCACAGAATAGAAATTTATAATTTAACAATTTAATGGTTTTTAGTTGTTGATGAGAGTGGTTTATTCCTTCTGTTATGTTTAGATTAATATACTGGAAGTTAGGGGTGTTTTTTTTTGGAAGTTCGTTTTATTGAAATTAAAGTACAGTGCTTCCCAGTGTTGTCTGGGTTCTCTTGAAGCATGATTTAATGAGATGATGTTCTAGAGTTTTGGAGTACTTTTCCTTGAAAATGTCTCCCTTCTTCTTAAGGAACAATTTAGGCATTGGAGAAAATCTTTCACATGAAATGCCCTTTCCTCTCATTAAAAAAAAGAAGAAGAAAAAGAAGGATAATGCCATCATCTTAATACAGCTTCTCCAGGATATCTTTCCAACCCAGGGATCAAACCCAGGTCCCCCACATTGCAGGCAGATTTCTTACCATCTGAGCCATAACTAGCCGGTTGTTTTAATACAGCTGTTTTACAGCCATTCGTTGACTTCTCATTTTATATAACCAGTATTTTTCACTATCATTTGTAAGTATTACATAGTTAGTATGTGTATCTCAGTGAGATAACATGGAAACTTGAATTCTCAAGTTAAAAATGGACCTCCTTTTTATCTTTACACCAGCTGACCATCTCAGCCTACATAAAGACCTCTTCCATTTTATGGAAGAACAGTTGTAATTTTCGTATGTCTGGTACTAGAATTTTTCTCATTTACATATAGCTTATGTGTATATATAATAAATTGCTAGTAGTTCAACCCCTTCACTTTTGCCTTGCTTTTAAAGATTTATGAGGTCATATTTCTGTTTAATGTATTTATTTGTATAAATGATAATCTCATTACAACATCTTATAATTTGTATGGTTGTTAAAAAAAAATAAATGGTTTCCCAAGTAGTAACCTGAATTCCTAATTGCTTTTACCTAAGCCCACCTCCCTATTTCTCCAGAAAGATAAGTAAACAGATTTTCTAATGTCTCTTTTCTCTCTCTTTTTTATCTCTTCTAAAAGAAATGCAGCCACATTTTTTTAAGAACATCGTTTTGACAGGAGGAAATTCCCTTTTCCCAGGATTTAGGGATCGTGTTTACTCGGAAGTTCGATGTCTCACTCCAACAGATTACGATGTTTCTGTTGTGCTGCCTGAAAAGTAAGTCTTGGCTTACATAAAACAGATCATGGAAGTTAGTTTGTAGATAAAAGAGGTCTATAGGGGGACTTGAGTTTAAAGCGTAGTTCTGCCATATTGGCAGGTTTATTTCACCTTTGGGATGCTCGTTTTTCTTTTCTCGAAAATTGAAATGACAAACCTTACATTTAAGTGGATTAAAATGGTGTGAAATATGTAAAGTACTGACCATCATGTTTAGTAAATAACAGGTGCTCAGTTAATATAAGATCACTTCCCTTAGTAAATCAGTCCTCATTCCTAAGAAATTTTTACAGACAAAGCAGTTAGGTTATTATCTATATGATTTCTCTGAGCTGTCATTTTTTGAGAGTTCCTATCAAGAATACAAATATGAGGATTTAACCAATAAGATAAATTATGTCAACTGATAAGTTTTAAAATCATTTAAAATATTTAAAATAAACTTTTATGTTTAAGTAGTCTTTTTTTTTTTAATTCAAAGCTATTTCACATGTACCCCCTATCCTGTTTTATGAGAAAAAGCAGATAATTAATGTAGAATTTTAGAGCTGTCAGAAAGGCTTACCGATCTGTCTAGTTCTATGTACTTACTTTCTAAATAAGCAAGGGCTGGTTAGTTAACAAAGGCCTTTTGGTAAGTTAATTGCAGTAACCAGACTAAAATTTAGCTCTCTTTAGTTGGAGGCAGGAGTCCTCACCAAATTCCAGTAATCCCCCATCACTGCTCCACCGTAGCAGAGCTGAAAACAAGACCCCACACACCTGATGCCGGCCACAAGGCACGTGGGATCTCAGTTCTCCAACCAGGGATTGAATCCACATCCCTGCGTTGGAAGAGAATTCCCTGCAGAGAATCTTAACCTCTGGACCACCAGGGAAGTCCCCCACATACCTGATTTTTAATTTTAGAATTTTATTTTAAAACTAAAGTGGAGTTTTTTAAAATCAGTATCAGTTAATAGAAGGCCCTCATCTGGTCACTTAATTTGATAACCATCAGGTAAAAGAGTAAACAACCATTAGATGTTGGAATGATTTTTATCAGCATTAATGTTCATATACTCATTTGAATATGAAGTATATTGAATTTTTATCCTGAATTTTAAAATGCAAGTCATGAACACACATGGATATGAAAAGAGAAATAGTTTTTATTCTTTTATCCATCAGATCTTTTTTGCACATCTTTACATATAGATCTAGATACAGGTTTAGTTTTTTAAGGTTAGAAATGCAATAAATACAATAGGGAGATTTTGTGTATCATTTCTCAGATTTACAATTGAACTGGGGGAGAGGAATAGAATCACCCAGTCTAACCAGTGTAACCTCGGTTGTGCATAGACTAACATCTGATGTGCCCAGGTTACCTGGGGCCCTTTCCTGCCGTGTGACAGGTCTGTCATGCCCTGTGCATCCTTTCTCCTTCCTTTCATGACCCCTCCCCTGCCCTACACTGTGCTTCCTACGTGTCTCATTTATCAGAGGGAGCAGAGTGTAAGAGCAAAAGCACAGACTGTGAAAACAACTCCAGGTTGAAGCCCAGTTTCAGTCCTAAGCTCTTTGAACCTCATTTTCCAGATATAAAAGTGAGTTTATAAGAGCAGTTTTGTTGCTTGCAGGGTGAATTGATGAGATGATGTGTCTTTGCTGCATACAAAAGTTAGACTCAGATATATTCCAGTTTTTCTCTTTATGCATTTTTGATCTTTAGTTTGTATTCTTGATTTTTCTTAGAAGATCCATAAATTCAGAGCACAGGGAAAAAGTAAAGAAGATCTATTTGCAGTGGTAACCAAGTTTCCTTTCTTTATGAGTTTCTTCTTTGAAAGTGAAAAGTGAAAGTTAATCACTGTTTGCAACCCGATGGACTATAGGCCTCCAGGTTCCCCTGTTCACGGAATTTTCCAGGCAAGAGTACTGGAGTGGGTTGCTGTTTCCTTCTCCAGGGGATTTTCTTCTCCAAGAGATTGGACTGAACCCAGTCTCCTGCATTGCAGGCAGATTTTTCACCATTTGAGCCACCAGGGAAGCCTCTCCTCTGAAGTTTATACTTATTTTCACCTTTGAAATGATTTTCTGTTAAATGAAGTTGGGTAGAGATTGCCACATTTTAGTTATTAATTAATGTTTCTGGCATTTCAGTTCTGTAAAATCATCTGGGTTCATTTATTTTACCTTTATTTTTAGCCCTATTACTTATGCCTGGGAAGGCGGAAAGTTGATATCAGAGAATGATGATTTTGAAGATATGGTGGTAACAAGAGAAGATTATGAAGAGAATGGACATAGCATCTGTGAAGAGAAATTTGATATTTAAGAAACATTTCTGAAAGTTCTGACTTACTATGACAAAGGTTTAATTTTTCAGTGTTCTTTTTAAAGGAAGTTAAGGACCTGTGTTAGCTTTCATCCTAAGATAACATCTTGAACTTATGTAAATACTCTGCTCCATGGCTAATTTTCAAAGGTTTCTTAGCTAGGTAGTAAGTAAACTGTAACTCACCCCATATTTTCATTTAGGAGCTAGACTTATTCTAACAATGCTTATGCTGTTTCTGAGAGTAAGTTATCTTTCATTAAAAGATGAAAGAGTGAGTGTAATTTAAGTTTAATTCTTTATAGCCAAAAACACAAACTTAACTATCTTACTGGTCAGGTTTCCTTAGAAGGTAGTTTTGTGTGACTGACTCAGAATTGACTAGTGTGTGTTCATCATTTCCCTTCCCCAGTGGAGATACAATTTCTCTCTTTTAGAACTAAGTATTTTATTTTTAAATTGTCATTTTTATTTATATATACTAAAGTTGGAAAAACTGATCTATGTTTGTATCATGTTTATTTTTTACTTGGCGTAAGTGTGAAAAGATGACAATCTAAACCGACTTAGTCCAGTGTTTTTGATCACTGCTGTGTTTCAGAAGTGTATTATTTCACTCATAAAAACACTATACCATTTTTTGTTTATTTTTCTTATACACCATTTTTTTTTCCATTTATTTTTATTAGTTGGAGGCTAATTACTTTACATCATTGCAGTGGTTTTTGTCATACATTGAAATGAATTAGCCATGGATTTACATGTATTCCCCATCCCGGTCCCCCCTCCCACCTCCCTCTCTACCCGATCCCTCTGGGTCTTCCCAGTGCACCAGGCCCGAGCACTTGTCTCATGCACCCAACCTGGGCTGGTGATCTGTTTCACCCTAGATGATATACATGTTTCAATGCTGTTCTCTTGAAACATCCCACCCTCGCCTTCTCCCAGATAAAATTCTTACATCATTGGGCTCATGAGTCAAATTCCTACCAGTCTCTTCACCTTAGCTAGAATCTTGCGGCTACCCCATGGCTTCGGGGATTTTAACAGCCTAGAGTGAAAGAAGGTAGTTTTCCGAAGGAAAATTAAAGAGACAGATGCTGGGCAGGGTGAAAGAACTGTCCCCTACAGTTACACTTGGATTATATGGAAGGTCCCTGACTCAGCAGTGGTTCCTCTTAATGATTTTTTGACTCTACAATGGTGTGAAAGCAGTATGCCTTTAGTAGAGACTGTTCTTCGGATTTTGAAGCTTGATTTATTCATTTTTGGCTGCACTGGGTCTTTGTTGCTTTGTGTGGGCTTTCCCTGACTCTGGCGAGCAGGGGCTCCTCTTCGTTGCGGTGCGTGGACTTCTGATTGCTGCGGCTTCCCTTGTCGCAGAGCACAGGCTCTAGGCGCACAGGCTACAGAAGTGTGACGCTTGGACTCTGGTGGTGGCACTCAGCTTCAGCTGCTCTGCACATGTGGGATCTCTCGGACCAGGGATTGAAACTGTGCCCTCTGCCTTAGCAGATGGGTTCTTAACCACTAGACCACCAGGGAAGCCCTGTTTTTGGAATTTTGAATTTTGATCTTTTCCCAACCTAGTGAGGTGTGGCATGTTACTTTCTTGTGGTGCTGGGCCGCATTTGGGCACATGGGTATTCATTATATTAGAATCTTATCGCATAGTTTTCAAGTCTCTGATCCACTAGTTCAAACTTGAGCCGTCATCGCCAGCCATATCTTCATGCAAATTGAACAACCAGAAATGCCGCTGTTAGTTCTGCCCTGGCATCATTTCCCTGCCCCAGCGCAGGTTAGACTTGTTCAGCGGCATGCCGTGTCAAGGGGAAGTGCTCTATACAAGACTGGACTCAGGATGGCAAGTTAATCACAAGAGCTCACACTTAGGACATTTATTCTTTCCACACTGTTTACCTTTCTCTCAAGCCACATCTGACCAAAGAGAAAGCATTCAGGCCTAGTTTATGAGTGGATTCTGCATGACATGGCTGGCAGTAGCCAGAAGTGGAGTGCTGGCAAAGATTAAAAGTTGAACTATCACCCCCATAAATAAAGAGCTGCCTTGTAGTATCACTGGTCACAGAGTAAAGTGACAGAGTTGATCTGCAACAGCAGCCTTTTGGTTTTTATGTTCAAAAACCTTTTTAGCACATAAGCAATTACACAGAAAAGAGGTCTCAAGAGTGGCTTTCACATTAAAAAAGAATGAAATGCCATTTGCAGCAATATGTATGAACTAGAGATTGTCATACTGAGTTGAACTAAGTTGGACAGAGAAGGGGAAATACAATGTGACATCCTTTATATGTGGAATCTAAAAAGAAATGATACAAATGAACTCACAAAGCAAGCAGACTCAGAGAAGGAACTTAGAGTTGCGGAGTTGGGGGAAAGGATGGTTCGAGAGTTTGGGATGGACATGTACACACTGCTATATATAAAATGGATAAGCAACAGAGACCTACTATATAGTGCAGGGAGCTCTTCTCAGTGTTACGTGGCAGCCTGGATGGGAGGGGAGTTTGGGGGAGAGTGGATACATGGACATACGTGGCCGAGTCCCTTCGCTATTCACCTGAAACTATCACAACATTGTTAATCAGCTATATACTAATACAAAATGAAAAGTAAAAAAATTTTAGAAAAGAATGGTTTTCAGTCTTGAACATTCTTTTTAATTACTTTTTTATTTTTGGCTGTGCTGGGTCTTTATTGATGCACGTGGGCTTTCTCTAGTTGTGGCAAACGGGGGCTCCTCTCTCGTTGCAGTGTGAACTTCTCATTGTGGTGGCTTCTCTTTTCTTTTTCTAATTTATTTTAAATTGGTGGATAACTGCTTTACAAAGCTTCTCTTGCTGCAGGACACAAGCTGTACGGTGCGTGGGCTTCAATAGTTGTGGTTCACAGGCTTAACTGCCTCACCACATGTGGAATCTTCGCAGACCAGGGATCAAAACCATGTCCCCTACATTGGCAGGCAGATTCTTAGCTGCCAGACTACCAGAGAAGTCCACTGAACATTCTTTACGTATGTAAATTATATGAGATAGAATTTTTAGCTCAACATTTATTTCTCCAAGTTAAATAATATTTACCTGAATAGGACCTAAAAATGTGAGTAAGTCTAAGAAGTGTTAAGCAGGATGAATCATGATGCTAATTGTCATGAACATAATTTACTGAATATTCTAATAGGAAATAAGCTTTTCAGTGATTGGAAATGGATTTTATTTATACAAGGAAGAAAAGCTTTGTCCCTACATTGCTCAAAAAGGTTTAGCCTAAAATTGAATGACAGTACTCTTGGGAATGAGTTTGAGTAAGCTCCAAGAGTTGGTGATGGACAGGGAGGCCTGGCGTGCTGTAATTCATGGGGTCGCAAAGAGTCGGACACGACTGAGCGACTGAACTGAACTGAACTGACCCTTGGGAATTTGCTTTAAGCCTAATAAACTGTATGGAGCCGACACTAGGTGGAGTAGCTCTGCTGGGATAGGAATTTCTCTTTAGAAATTAATGCCGCAGAACCTTCAAAACCATTCAGTAAAAACCATTTTACTTTGTAAACAAGTTTAATTGAACAGTAGTATATTCAAAATAGTCTCCATTAGGGAATGCTATAGGATATGTCATTCAAATTAAACATTTCAAGCACTAGTGATTCTGCTGTTTCTAAATTGGGTTTTATCAACCCAGGGTTCTCACTTGCTAACATTTTCCCTTAGGAACCCAAGTAGGTCAGATTACTAGATCCAGATCTCTGACCCCAGAGCTCAGACCCTTGTTCCTACCACACTGTCTCTCAGACCTTTGATATTTCTGGTCCAGTCTTATAAACACAAATAAGCTTTTCAGTGATTGGAAATGGATTTTATTTATACAAGGAAGAAAAGCTTTGTCCCTACATTGCTCAAAAAGGTTTAGCCTAAAATTGAATGACAGTACTCTTGGGAATGAGTTTGAGTAAGCTCCAAGAGTTGGTGATGGACAGGGAGGCCTGGCGTGCTGTAATTCATGGGGTCGCAAAGAGTCGGACACGACTGAGCGACTGAACTGAACTGAACTGACCCTTGGGAATTTGCTTTAAGCCTAATAAACTGTATGGAGCCGACACTAGGTGGAGTAGCTCTGCTGGGATAGGAATTTCTCTTTAGAAATTAATGCCGCAGAACCTTCAAAACCATTCAGTAAAAACCATTTTACTTTGTAAACAAGTTTAATTGAACAGTAGTATATTCAAAATAGTCTCCATTAGGGAATGCTATAGGATATGTCATTCAAATTAAACATTTCAAGCACTAGTGATTCTGCTGTTTCTAAATTGGGTTTTATCAACCCAGGGTTCTCACTTGCTAACATTTTCCCTTAGGAACCCAAGTAGGTCAGATTACTAGATCCAGATCTCTGACCCCAGAGCTCAGACCCTTGTTCCCTACCACACTGTCTCTCAGACCTTTGATATTTCTGGTCCAGTCTTATAAACACAATTTACGCATGTATATTTTTATTCTAGAGATTAAAAACAAAACGAGGCTCAGAAGGAAGATATCTGTTCAAGGTTATAAATAATCTGAGCAGCAGATCCAAGGACACAGTAGTATCTTTAACACATTTCTCAAAGTGCCGTCCATTCTTAGTGATAGCTAGCAATTCTCTACCTGATTCACACGCATCATTAAAATGGAGACTCATAAGGAGACGATCCCCTGCACCCTGCCTAATGATGAGGGTTGGGCTGCATGTTTCCACTTCTTTCCTGTCTAGAATCACCCTCTCAGCTCTTCCACTGGAGGTATACTAATTTCCTCCCCAATTCAAAATAACCATATACATGAGGACAGTTAACATCTTCTAATGTCAGAATCGTCGTGCTTTGTTTTTGGTTTTCTTTTAAAGCCACAGGAATTTAGAATTCATCTAGCTAATGCTCTTATTTTAACGTAACACTTTAACAATTACATCAACAGTTTATCCACAAAGTAAAAGCAAAATTTGGAAAATAGATAAATATAGGTCATTGAGGCCCTTAAGTGTATTCTCTGAAGACAAAATAAAAAATGATTCTCTAACCCAGTGATTCTTAATGTGCTTCACTTATAATTCCCTTGGAAAATCTGGTGGAAAGCTATGAATCTTCTTCCTAGAAAAATAAGCACATACACACACAAAGTTGCATACAATCCCAGAAAGTACACTGTGCTTCAGCACCCTGAAACCTGTTCATAGACTCTTAGTTGAGAACATTGACTAAGCATTCAAATTCAACCCAACTGGTAGTTTTTACACAAAAAGATAAAACTGATGACATTAGTTATATATGTTTCAAGTGCTTAACGATACACGCTTCTCTTCCCTGTGATCAAGGCATGAATTAAGACCACAGAAGAATGTACTTTAATCTGCAACAGAGACTGAATCTTCAACCTGTGTCACATTGAGAGAATGATCCCATAAAGTAAACTAATCAAGTTAAAAACAGAGGGAGAAAAGAAAACCAAACTTGATGGACTAGAAAAGAATCAGAAGGCAAAATTATGGTTTTAGACATTCATGAATTTTAAATTTGTGGCTTTTAGTCTTCTGAAAGTCTTTTCCTTCTTAGATGATTCACAGCATTTAAGTTACAGTAGCCTGAAGGGGTAGCTTAAAAGTAGTATGTACTAAGGAAAATACATGCTTTCTTTAGAGAACTCACATATGAAATGTTCTTTTTCTGTGGAAAAAAAAATTTGTAAGGAAATTAACTATCAGATCCCTGATAATAGCACCACATTTAATAAGCAGCATAGTAATTAAATGAATCAGCATACAAGAATTTAACTTACATTCTCTCTTAAAGATAAAAAACATCCTTTATAGTTTTTTAAAGATCTACTCTCTTAGCAACTTCCACATACTAAATAGAGTATTGTTAACTATAGTTGCTCTGCTGTACATGACATCCCAGGACTAATGTATTTTGTGACTGGACATGTGTACCTTTTGACTCTTCCTTAACATATATTTTAAGCATTGTTACACTTAAAATGCTTATAGGCTATCCTTTCTCTGTAGTGTGGGTATTGGCAGTTTGCAAAACTACCAGAGGAGTTCTTCATATTAACAAATTATAGTTTCTTCTCCCAGAAACTTTTTTCATTTCAAAGAGATACTAGAATTACTGTTAACCTCAAGAGCCAACTGGTGAAGATACTGGCTTGTCCTTTGTTTTGTTTTTCAAACTCCTTGTCATGCCGTTTTTCTTTGTTCATTATCTTTTTTCCATCCTGAGTCAGACATGTATCTGATCATCTGAACCACCTTCTCAGTCAGTTGATTTTAAATGTTTCTGATATCAAATATTTATCCTTGTCTTTATAATCAAGACAGCACAGGTAAAGCCCTATAATAGGAAAAAGCTTGGCTTGTTTGAGATTTCCTATTATAAATACCCCCATCTGGAAGCAGCAATGAGATACAGAAAGTATTTACCTTTTTAGAAGAAAGGTAATCAAACAGGGCTGCCAAAAAGAACTGGAGAAGAACTTACTCTAGAGATATTAAAAAATAACCTTAATGTAACCACCTTTTTTAGCATTATACATTTATTACATATTCACCCTTGGTTCCCTTCCAACTTATGTGACTGTAGCAGTCACTCAATGATATAGAAGGAATAAGTCTGAGTCAATACCTGATATGGCATCTGGATCTTCTCCATGCAGAAGCTACTTAAGTTTCTTACTAACCAGATCCAATAAAGTAACTGGTGTCTACATAAAAACAGATATTTTCAAGTTTTTAATATGAATTTTTCTAGCCAGTAATCTAATATACGGGGCTTCCCTGGTGGCTCAGATGATAAAGAATCAGCCTGCAATGCAAGAGACCCAGGTTTGATCCTTGAGTCGGGAAGATCCCCTGGAGAAGGGAATGGCAAAAAAATCTGTTTTTTTGACCAATGCATAGGGGAAGAGGATTACAGATGGGGAAAGGGGGCGGGTAGCAGAAGGCCTCTGAATTATAAAGGGTATATAAATACTTGAAATATTTTTAGAATTCTTAAAATTCTATTTTCTACTTCCACATATGTGGTATATCTGAAACTAGGTTAACCAATCATTAGCAGTGTTCTACAATAATAAAAATTATTTGTACTTCCATAACAGCACTGGTCTAGATAATCTTGCACTGTTATCATATGATCTATATGTAAATAGTAGCTCTAAAATACATAATAACATCATTCTCTTAAAATAGATATATACTCCTTTTCCAGTCTTAGTTATTACACAAAGGAAATCCCAGACTACAACATGTATCTGGGGAAAATAATTCCTCAGCTAACATCATTACAGAGGGTAGACCTACCAACGTTGAGCCTCATATTCACATAGCTCCTTCAATTTGAGCCACAAGGTAGGTATCTTTCCATTAGCTTCTATTGTCCTGAAAATTTACAAACATGAAGCCATCCCCATCAATTCATTGTGTCATGCAACAAAAATTTAGTGATTTCTATGTGCCAGGACAGTTCTAGGTGATAAATAAGCATATCAAATCTGAACTCATGGAATTTGCATTCTCAGATGTGACAGCACATGAGATAAAGACAATTTCAAAAATCAGCAAATATATGATTTCAGATAGTGATAAGTGCCATTAAGAAAGCATAAACCGGGATACAAAGCTAGAGTGAAGAAGATGGGTAGCTATCTTAGGTAGCAAAGATAGAAAGATAACCCTCTTAGTTACTGAGAGGCTATCATTTTGAGCAGAGGCCTGAAGTGATGTGAAAGAGTGAGGCCATAAAAAGACTGGAGAGAAAATGTCCCAGACATACCCAAGACAGCATAGGTAAAACCCTGTAACAGGGAAAAGCTTGGCTTGCTTGAGATCCCGTATAAATACAAATACCCCCATCTCAATTTCCCTGAAATACTTCATACCCTAATCTGCAGAAACCAGTCCTTGGAGTCCCTTCCTGCTTCCTGAATTCCACACCAGCACATCCTCCAGCCCACGTCAAGTTCCTTCTCCTTTTCAGTCCTGCTACAAAGTGTGAACCAGTATCTTTCTTTATGACATTGCTAGTTCTGACATGAGGGGGAGGCAAAAAATCCTTTCTAACTTCTCAATCACATGTGGGAAAGAGGAGAATTCATTTACCTAGAGGAGGAGGCAGAGTGAGAAAGAAGAAAGTGGAGATGCTAAGTGGTAAGGAAGAGGAGGAGAGAAAACATTCTTTCTAAATTCCTGGTTGGATCTTTCTATAAGTAAGGAATAAACATGAATTTTGGCTTAGTGGCTGTAGAATTAAACATTTATGTAACCACTACCCTAATCTCTATTTATTATATTTTATGATAGAAAATGAGGAGCAGAGTAACAACTGATTTTTAAATGAGCTTTAGAATATATTTCATTCAAAAGTCATAAAAGAGGGACCGCTTCTATTGTATGTACTTAGTACCACATTTTTCTCTGAAATAATGGAAAAGAAACTTCAGTTAAGGGTGAGAGAACTGCTACAAAATTCAAACCAATGTGTTTCTAATGACATGAGATAAATTTTTTACACACAAAAAATTGAGAAGGGAACAATTTTTTTTAAAAATATATCCACACTCCCCCAAACTCTCCTCCCATCCAGTTGAGAAGGAAATACTTCTTTATAAATACTTTGGAGAAATAATGCCACTAAAAGTACCAGTGCCTGGAACTAAAATATAGTAGTGAGGTTAAAAGGTAATCTTTTTTCTTATGTTAGGAAAAAAAATCTTTTTCTAAGATCTTTTTCAAAATGTATCAGGAATTTGACAATGTCTCACTAGCTCTTGCTACTCCTTTGTTTCAAGTCGCCATATTTCTCGCCCAGATTGTGACAATAGCCTCCTAAAAGATTTTTCTGCTTCTTTCCTTCCCCCTTTATAATCTGTCCACAACACAAAAGCCAGTTATCTTCATAAATGTCAGTCATATGTGTTGTGTCAGTCAGCACTGTTGTGCTCAAAACCTCTCATGATTCCCCACTTTATTCCAAGGACAGGCAAGGTCTCTCCAATTGTCTACAAGGGCCACCTCCTCTCTGACCTCATCTCACAGTACTCTCTCCTCTGCTCCCTGCTTCCTTGCTCTTGTTCCTCAGCACCCAGGCAAGCATCACCTCCAAGGCCTCTGCTCTAGGAACCATTTTTTCTGCCCCAAACCAACCCCCTCAACCCTCATGGCCATTTAGTTGATGCTCCTCGTTCCACTCTCTGCTCTAATCTCACTTTCTCAGTGAGCCCAGTTTTGGCCACACCATTTAATACCATAAGCTCCTACTAACCCCCACCCTAGCACCTCAAAATTCCCTTAAACTACTCTTTTTTCTTTTCTATTGCATTTGTTGCTTTCGATCAAACTATATGATGACAACTTACTGCATGTGTTTTTTATTTTTGTCTGTGCCACGCAGCCTGTGGAATCCTGTTCCCCCGACCAGGGATCGAACCTGGGTCCCTGAAGCAAAAGTGATAAAGGGGCTGCATCTTTGTGTTTTGTTTGCTAATGTATTCCAAGTACCTAAGACAGTGTCTGGCACATAGTAATGCACCAGAAATAGGTTGAAGAAATTAATCAATATACTTGTAAATATCAGCTAAATACCAGGGTTGTTTTGAATCTGCTTCCTTCTCTTTAGTGGGTGTGGGAAGAGCATTCCTTCAATCTTTGCCCATTATAGGTACTCAGTAAATCATTTATTAAGTGAATGCTTTGATTTTCCATCTGACACAAATAGCTTAGCACTAAGTGTATCCAGGCAAAATGCCAGACATACCTTGAAGAGCTCATAGTGGAGCTCCAGTAGGAACAAGACTAGCTGTCCTGCCTGTACTTTTAATAATGACTTGGATTGCAGAACTGCTTTGGCAAGAGTTTTCAGGACCACCATTTTGTTATCAAACTGTAAACAGGAAGATTCATTAGCTTGAATTGGTTTTAAATGAAATAAATAGAAGGTTTTAAAACTGTTGTTGCAATTTTTTTCACCTTTTTTTGTAATTTGTTGGCATTAGCTTCTGATGCAATTGCCATGAAAGTAAGTAGCCACCGTAATTCTTCTCTAACGTTGGACAACAATCTTAGATATAGCAGTGTGGCTTCAAGTGCTGCTGTTCTTTTTTCATTTTATGTTACATGGGTTTACAAAGAAGACGAAGCAAGGGGAAAAAATAAATGCAGATTATAGTACTTAACAGTCAATTAAAATGCTGTGATGCTGTATTTGGTTTGCAGATTCATTTTTACATTTGGAAAGCTTTTATTATAAAATATTACAAGCATATAGGAAATTATCTATATAATATGCCAAACACATGCATAATTATATCCAGCACTGTCAAACATTAATTTCTCTTTTTTTTTTGGCTACATGACACAGCCTGTGGGATCTTAGTTCCCCGACCAGGAATCAAACCTGCATCCTCTGCACTGGACCACCAGAGAAGTCCCCTTAATTTGTTTTTAATGTGAAATTATATGGCCACCTACATAGCTAAAAAAAGACGTAATGTGTCATTTAGTTTTTATTTTACTAAAAGGTCACCAAATTAGTACATCAGAAATTAATATTTACAGACACCTTAATTCTCTAGTCCTGTGAAAGTGAAAAGTGAAAGTGGCTCAGTCATGTCCAACTCTTTGCAACTGTATATTCCATGGAAGTCTCCAGGCCAGAATACTGGAGTGGGTAGCCTTTCCCTTCTCCAGGGGATCTTCCCAATCCCAGGAATCCCCTCTCTAGTCCTGTAGTCTATCAAAATATTTCTTAGAGTGTCCCTATGATAGAATTACCTTAGATCTTATTCCTATACTACATTATTATATTTGACATTACAATTTACATGACAGGCAAAAAGTAGTGAAAAAAAGTGAAAAAAGAACTGTATGAGGGAATTTGCTGGTGATCTAGTTGTTAGGACTCGGTGCTTTCACTGACAGGTCCCTTGGTGTTGTCTGTGGTGGGGGAACTAAGATTCCATATGCCATGGTCTTTAGCCAAAAAACAAAAAAATACTCCATGAAGTAATTTGACACCATAGAAAAAAATATTAAAATGCAACATTCAGGGAATTCCATGGTGGTCCAATGGTTAGGAATCCTTGCTTCCACTGCAGGGGGCATGGGTTCAATCCCTTCTTGGGGAACTAAGACCATACCTGCTGCAGCACACAGCCAAAAAAAGCAATACTCACATAACACATGTAATCTCCCGCAACTCAATCCTCAGGCTTTATTATTATGCAACAAACTGAAGTTTAAACATCTCTTAACTAAACGTTCAAAAATTCCTGAATAAATACCAATACACTCATCAGTTAATAAGCAGCCTCTCTCCTAATTTGGAAAACTCAGCAGTGGCCACAGGACTGGAAAAGGTCAGTTTTCATTCCAATGCCAAAGAAAGGCAATGCCAAAGAATGCTCAAACTACTGCACAATTGCACTCATCTCACACGCTAGTAAAGTCATACTCAAAATTCTCTAAGCCAGGCTTCAGCAATACGTGAACCGTGAATTTCCAGATGTTCAAGCTAGTTTTAGAAAATGCAGAGGAACCAGAGATCAAATTGCCAATATCTGCTGGATCATCGAAAAANTTAGTATTTATTATAATTTCCCTTAACACTATGTACCTTCTTTGTTGACGTCATATTTAGCACTTAACACTTTGTACATTCTCACACAGTTTTACCTTATCAACTTGGAATTTATGTGTGTATGTGTGTCTATATGCATGCATGTTTGTTTGTACCCATGCATGTATGTTTCTATGCATGCACGTATGTGGGTACAAAATTAGGGAGAAGAGAAAATAGAATACACAGACCAAAGTTCATTGCTTACCAATATTTCCTTCCTCTTTACCTGTCTCCATCTTGGGGTTCTGGCTATTTCTTTGTAAACGCATTAAAATGTATCTTTGAACATTTTCTTAGGATGGGGTTCTTAAGTGATTCTTGCCATGAATTCTGGATGATCCTGAAATATCTTTCCTTCTTCTCTTCACTTCCTTTTCCTTCCTTCCTTCTTTTCCTTCCCCTCTACCCCCCAGGTAAATGGAACATATTGCTTAAATGTGTAGCTCATTATTTTTCGGCTCCTAGTGTTGCAGGTGAAAAGATTAAGGGCAGTGGATTGCATTTTTCTTGCAGGTAACCTACCCTTTCTGCCTAGAAGCTCATAAAGGCTGACTGGCTGCTGTCTGGTTCCTGCAGAGGCTTTTAAAGAAATCATGTTTCTTCGTTGGTGTCCCCATACTCTCTCTGACTCAGGGGCTGGGGAAGTCTCAGCCACTTGTTGGGTCATTCTTGGCCTATTGTAAATTAGGAGCAAGCGTGTCATGTGCAAGGGGCTTCCCCGGTAGTACTAGTGGTAAAGAGACTGCCTGCCAGTGGGGGCGACATAAAAGACACAAGTTTGATCCCTGGGTCGGGAAGATCGCCTGGAGTAGGGCACGGCAACCCACTCCAATATTCTTGCCAGGAGAATCCCTTGGACAGAGAAGACTGGTGGCCCATGGTCCATAGCGTCACAAAGAGCCGGACACAACTGAAGTGACTTAGCACACACACATACGCATGCATCTCATGTGCAAACAGGACCATGGGTGATTAAGACGGTTCACAGGTCTCTGAGCACCAAGCTCTTCCTAGGATCTGAGCTTTCAGGTTCCCAGGTCTGAAGTCTGATGTTCTTTTCTTGTTTGGCCCACGTGGGAGAAAGCATCATACCAGTTCTCTCTGCCTGAAGTACCCAAGGTCATATACCTATGGTTCCTAGCAACTGGTTTACCAGGAGTGACAAATACCTTGGAGTTGGGAGTGAAAGAGAAGGGACCTCATTCAGGTTACAGGGGTCCTCGAACATCTCCACAAATGAGGCTGCTTTTATGATAGGCCTTATTTCATTGTACTGTAATGCTTTGTTTCATGAACATCTCCCCTACTAGACTGTGGCTTCTTTTAAAGCAGGGATGAATAAACCAGTAAAAACCATCATGGTTGTTATTTTATGGTTATAAAATGTAAATAATAGAACTGTGGAAAAACACTCAGGGCTGGTGCAGGGAAAGAAGATTGACAAATCATGACTGAGCTGAAATGAATGAAACCACTAAGATATCTAGTCATCTTCTCACAGGTCATAACCAGGGACTTTCTATTTTAGATCAAAGGAGAATTCAGTGATTAATTTCTAAATCAAAGATGGTGTTTGCTTATATATACAAATATGTTCTCATACATTTAAAGAAGCAAGGGCAAAAGATGTGAAAGAACATTTTACTTATAAATTGACAATAAAAATGGTCACTTAAAACTAAGATCATGGCATCCGGTCCCATCATTTCATGGCAGATAGATAGGAAAACAGTGGAAACAGTGGCTGACTTTATTTTTCTGGGCTCCAAAATCACTGCAGATGGTGACTGCAGCCATGAAACTAAAAGATGCTTACTCCTTGGAAGGAAAGTTATGACCAACCTAGACAGCATATTAAAAAGCAGAGACATTACTTTGCCAACAAAGATCCATCTGGTCAAGGCTATGTTTTTTCCAGTGGTCATGTATGGCTGTGAGAGCTGGACTATAAAGAAAGTTGAGCACCAAAGAACTGATGCTTTTGAACTGTGGTGTTGGAGAAGACTCTTGAGAGTCCCTTGGACTGCAAGGAGATCCAACCAGTCCATCCTAAAGGAGGTCAGTCCTGGGTGTTCATTGGAGGGACTGATGTTGAAGCTGAAACTCCAATACT